CAAGTAGGAATAAATAAGATAAAAGTAATATTTTGTGTTTGTAATAATGTTAAGACTTGAAATATTTGTAAAAACAATAATAGCTAAAATTTAACTTAAAATATATACAACTAGTAACTAAATTAAAAACTTATTAATAATAAGAAAACACTAACTTAAAATATATATTCATAACGAATTCTAAACTATTATCTTTTTTTTAATATTAAAAATGAGTACTTGTAATCTAGGCTTTTATTGATAATATGTTTCAGTTCTGTAATAGTATTACAGCAGTTATAAAAGATAATTATACAACTAGCTACTTATACAACTTTAGTTATTATTTAATTTAAGTAGTCTGTCCAAAGATTCTACACTAACTGTTATATTTAGAACCCTCTAGTAAATCCTTTATTAAATATTTTAGCTCTTGTATTCACCTATCTATTTATTCTATCAACTGCTTCAGTTTTTATTGATAAAAATATACTTATATAAAAACCTTTAATCTTGTACTAAACATACTGAACTCTTCTGTTACCTAATTTTCAACTGACTCAGTATTGCTATAGCTAAGATTAACATTTGCAGTTGAAGTAACACTTAAACTATTATACTTGTAGAGTTTATACAACTCCAGTACTTCCTTTTATAATCTTATTAATACCTTGTATATCTTTGCAAATCCTCTTATACTACCAATTTAGTTAGTTTTATATAATGCAACTTTATACCCAATTCAACTGGTAGCCAGATTGGTAAACTCTTTTATCTAGAGTTCTTGCCTATACAGATTATCTGGTTCAGGTTTCTGTCTCTGGATCAAGATTTTTACAGGTAATACTATTAAAAATTGTACTATCTCTTTTCTTAGAATTTTCAAACAGAGCTTCTTATAGAATATATAGGCTCCAAATTTATTTGTATAATATTGCATACTCCTAAAGTTAGTTTTAATATGACTAGAATTACAGAATTACAACCTCAAACACTTTAAACAAGTTACCAGAATAGGACCATTTTTCAAATTTTTACTACCAGTGAGATTTGAACTCTGAACCTACTGCTTAAAAAATAACAACTCAACCATTTTATTAGAATCACTATTTTTTTCTAAACTATTATTAAAATACTTTAAAAGAATAAAGAATTATAAAAACTATTAATCTAAATTATTAATTTGAAAGTTGTTATAAGTAACATAATAGGAAATATGAAAAACTAATATTAGTTAAAAATAATAGAATTAGGATATATTGGAATTTAATACAAGCAGTGAAGCCTGAACCTTTTTATTAAATAAAACAATTTAATAATATTATTATTTATAAATATCAAGAACCTTAATTATAAATATTAATCTTAACTATAGTAAGCAAGATATGCAGCAAGATAATATAAATACTATTACAAATAGCTGCAAAAGGTTAACAATCTGTATTAAGTTCATATAATCTAAATTAGATAATAAAATAACTTTTTAAAAAATATATATATAAATGTTTTTCACTTACTAAAATTGAATAAAAATTAATAATCACTGTAAAGTTTTAAATCTAAAGATTTAAAAAATTTTTTAAATAACTATTTTTTTAAAAAAAAAGGTCAAAAAATTTTTAAGAAAATTTTTCTAAAAACAATTTTTATTTTAAAATTATAATGTTTAATATATGTATAAAAAATTTAAAGAATGGTGATCCTAGTTTAGTAGTTGGGTTGTTATCCTTCAAGCAGTAGGTCCAATGTTTAAATTCCATCAACAACAGAATTTTGAAAAAAATAATCCTATTCTGGCAAACTTATCTGTGATCTGAAGTTTGTAAATTCTGTAATTCTGGTTATACTAAAACTAATTTTAGAAGTGTGTAATATTATACAAATAAATCCAGAAAGTATATATTCAGATTAGAAACCTGCTTGGAAATTCTAAACAGAGAAGCAGTACAACTTTTAACAGTATCACTTGTAAAGATCTTGATCTGAAAAAGAAAACCTGAAGCAAATAACTTGTATAAGCAAAATCTCTAAGTAGAGAGTCCATCAACCTGACTATCAGTTGATCCAGGCATGAAATCACATCATATAGAGCTAACTGGATTGGTAGTATAGAAGGACTTGCAAAATAGATGAGGTATTAGTGAGGTTGTAAAAAAAGGGTACTGAGGTTTTATGAACTTCATAAAGGTTGTAAACTAGATTTAGCTATAAATTAAGATATAGAAGGCTCTAGTAATGATGTCTTGAAGATATACTGCATGAAATAAAGTATGAATATGTATCTAGAACTTCTTGACTGATATCATATAACAGATGTTCTAGTAATGCAGTAAAGATTACATTACAGAGGGTTTAAATAAACAACACTCATAGTTAAGTTGCAAGTATGGCAACTAGTATAGAACCTAATATAGGCAGACTACTTAAATTAAACACCAAAAGTGTACATGTGGCTAGATGTACTCTCTAATGTAAGGTAGCTCCTCTGAGGTAATCAGACTGTGAGCTCCTGTGTCCTACTATACTGAATAAAAAATCCCTAGTCCCAAAAAGGCTAATTTAACTATAAAAAAAAATAAAAAAAATAAAAATATTTGTAAAAAAAAATTAAAAAATTTTTAATTTTCTTTCAACCTTTTTAATATTAACTAAAATGTTTGTCATGCAGATTAGATTTTATTGTTCATAAAATCTTAAAGCCACCATATATACATTCAGAACTTCATAAATGCACACTCTATTAAGGCATGGACTATCTAAATGCACAGTATGATTTGGTCCCAACTCATAAGATCTATATATAATTTCTATTCTATAAATGCACACACTCTCTAAGTGCAATATTTCAAATTTTTTACTATGGTCCCAATGGTAATGCATTTACGGAGTTGACTGTAGCATACGTTAAAGGTACTTCGCAAAACGTAAAGATCCGAGTACTTACAAGGCAATCATTTCCATTTAATATACCCCTTTTACACAAGACCCTTATGTAATCTACCTCGTGCCATATAAGATACCCAGGGTATGAATCAAGGTTTGATGTGACGTAATTTACGGTAAGCAGTTTTTTCTTCGAACTAACGTTTATTTTGAAATCTCCTGATCGTGTTACGTTACACCAAATTATGGATCGTTATTGGCTAACGGAGACGAGAGATACGTTTCCGCGAATGACGCCTACAAGTACCAATAATTTATATATATTTAAAAAAGTAAGTATTGACAAGATTTTTATTATACAACCATACCATTATTCTAGGAAATTTTGCATTTATAAAGTATTATACTTATATAAAAAGTAATACATTGAAACCATCATAAGTGCCTTTATAAATGCACACCCTCTCTAAAAATTCAAGCACATATACAGTAAAACCTTCGTACGTGTACACTCGAGGGATCGAACTTTAACAACGTGCACTTAGAGAACAATAAGAGAAAGTGCATTTATGGAGGTCATGTATAGATTTGGGCCTGAATTTAAGTGTGCATTTAGAGAGGATGCACTTATAGAGGATGCACTTATAGAGGATGCTCTTATGGAGGCTTCACTGTACTTTGTTTAATAGTCACATGTAAAATATTTTGATTAAGCAACATGGCTCAGCCTTACAAAAGTCTTAGAAGATTTAATCTTCGCTGTGTTTGACTTTTTCCAGAGGTTTCAGCTTTACTAGGTGTTTTGCCATTTTGTCATAGTTTTGCCGGTTTGACAGGGTTTCGCCGGGTTTAGTTTCGACTTTTGTCATTTTCCAAAAATAGTTGTCACTAACAACAGTAGTAGCAACTGAGCCTGAGATCTAAACAACTAAAAACTATACCCAGAACAACGCCCGTGCCTGAGACCTAGTCTAACGAAATAAAATAGACTTTTCAACGACAAAAAATCATTATTCCAAATTTATGGCACGTTAACTTTGAAATCCCCTAATAATTATATATTTATGTCTTATCAAAATGAATTCACATCTATATAGAAGTTTTTTGAAAGTCAATAATGTGACTGATTTGTATATAGTATATAGTGAAAATTTCTTATGTTTATACTCAAATTTCTAAATTTTGAACCAATTTTTTTTTTGATCTATTAATTAAAGTTGCTTAGAATTAAATTCGGTCATATTTCTTATAAGTAAAAGCAAGGCCCCCTCTCTGAAATCCAAAATCTTCAAAATTAGTCATTAGTTGCCAGTCAGTTACAGATCGGTTATAATCGGCTATAATCGATGAGAAATTTTAAATTCCTAAATTTTGGAGAAATGTCTTGTTTTATAATATAGGATGGTATAATAGAATTTATACTAACAACACTTAATTAATAGCTCAAAAAGAAAATCATTTCAAATTTAATAAATTGATTATAACGCATCTTTAATTTGTGCTTTCGGATCAAATTTCATGATTGTGACAATTCCAACTTTATATACAGTCAAACCTCAGTTATATCAGAGATATAACTGAGGCAATATTTAATAAATATAGGATACTTATTCTGCTAAATGGTGGAGATATAACTGAAGTTTGACAAAATCACTTGGATTTTTATAATAAATAAATACTTTAAGCTCACCTTTTCAACGTCTATCAAACAAAAAAAATTTGCAAGATTGATAAAATTTATTTGATCCAAGTGCTCATTTGCAAATCATTTTTTTTTACAATAAATTGATCAAATGTATTAATTCAATTGGTGAAATTCATTAATAATTCGTGTCCATTAACAGCTTTTTTTCTTTGCTGTTCTACACATGATTAAATCAATTGACGTTTTTGAAGAGAAATTATATTAATGTTAGTGTAGAGCATTACAGTATCTGCACATGGATACTTTAGGTAACAACTTAGTGTTGAATTTTATGACCGTGACCAAATTTGATCGTACATCATATCTATTTTAATGGTTTAAAAAGCAAATATTTAGTGACACGGGAACCAATAGAATGCAAAAATGTTGTGTAATATAAAAAAATTTTTAGCCTTAATAGTACGCAGAAACAAACTTAAACAATTAGAAACAAATGACAAAAGCGACGGATGATGATACATTTTGTATACGAAGTGATGATAATTCAGATGCAGCAAGTGAAAAAACAAGTGAGCTATTTCATCAATGTTAATATAAATCCCTGTTATTAATTGATACAATATAATAAAGAGTCTATTCTGTGCTAGTCGTTGAATATTCGGGCAAATTAGAGGCGCTTTTTCCTGACTTGAGAAGTTTTGATTACTCGCAATTTAGTGATCTCAAACGCATTGGGCAAGGTGGATTTGCAGCTGTGTATTCGGCCACATATAAAGGAAAAAAATATGCATTAAAAAGCCTAAACAATAACTTGCACTTTGATGATAAATCACTTAAAAGAATTGAACGTGAGGTAGTTGTTATTTCATTATTCAAAATTGTAATTTTGATTCTAATTATTCAAAACTAACTTATAATTATATACAGCTTATACTTCTTCATAAAGTTGATAATGAAAATATTGTAAAACTTTATGGGTATTCAAAAGGTTATAATTAGGATCTAGTTTTGAATTTCTTATTGATAATTAATATATCTGGTTAAAACTTAACCAGTCAAAATTTAATAAATTTTAGATCCACGATTAGATAGTTTTATGCTAGTTTTACAGTTGGCTAACGAAGGTAGTTTACGAAATTACTTACAAAAGAAACAACAAGGAGGAGTTTATAAAATTTTATGGGCTGATCTCATTAGAATTGCATTTGAGATATCTCAAGGCTTAGAATATCTACATAATAAGGATATTATTCACAGAGATCTGGTAAGTATAATTGTTTAAATTTTTTGATTTATTACGTTTGAATTTAAAATTTAAACCTTTTTAAATTTGTCTAGCATTCTAAAAATATTCTTATAAATGATGGTAAAGCTTTGATTTCAGACTTTGGAGTAGCAAAATACTTGGATGATGATACAATTTCTGCGAATGTGATGGGCGTGGTAGCATATGCTGATCCACGATACCTCAATGGCGGAAAAAAGAATGAGCTTGATAAAAAGTCTGACATTTATAGTCTGGGAGTAATATTTTGGGAGCTGACAAGTGGAATCCCACCTTTTCATGGCTTTAATACAATGAATATAATGATGAAAGTTATAAAACTTCAGAGAGAGAAACCTATCGCAAATACACCTCAAAGTTATATTAGTCTTTATATCAAATGTTGGTCTTCTGATCCTAATGAGCGTCCATCATTAAAAGAAATTTCAATTGAACTTAAGAAACTATCGGCAAATACAACTGTTAAATTTATTACAAATAAAATCATAGATAACCAACAAACTACAGAAATAGAGATCGAAGAATCAAACAAAAATTGTCAGCACTATTCAAACTAATTTGTTGTTTTTAATTAAAAGGTTTCTACTAAATTATATATTTGTGTAGATAATAATGACATAAACCTTCTAAGCAAAGACGCAGTCCCTGTTGTACGTAAGGATGAAAATGCGAACAAAAATGCAAATAAGTACGTATAATCTTTAGTATTTTCACTTTTGTTTAGGTTTAGGTTTAAATTGAATTCTCACAGTAATTTACCATCAAACGGCACACTACTAATCATTTATTTCAGTGAGTCAGTATAGATATTCAAGATATTGTCTTCTAATCAGCATCTATTCATTAAATTTGTTATTTTGACTGATAACTAACATTGAGTTATTAGGTCCCAAACCATCGTACAGTACATCTCCTTATTTCACAAGGTTATTCAAATAGAAGAAGAAATGCGAGTAATCAATAAAGAAGCAAAGTGCTGTCAAAAAATTTGTTCAGCGTTATTAGAACGTGTTGAATTCGCAAAAACTGCTATGGAATCTTTGAACCGAAATCCAAATTGTTATAAAGAACGTTTTGAAAAACAAGATTATTACGAAGATTGGAAGAAATTGATTAATATACTGGAGAATATTAAGAAGTTCGCTAAAGAAAATACACAATTGTATTGGTTTAAAAAATATGTAAATGCTATTGAGATTAAAACCAATTTTGAAAAACATTGCAAGGAATTTGTTGAAATCTGTAAAGCACTAGATTTTAATACAGCTATATATAATGCAAAAAAAAAAGAAATGGAAGCACAAGATGCGGCTGAAGATCTCGAATATTTAAAAAAGGTGAATTTTATTGTAAATTTTTATTAAAATTCTTCATTAATATTAATTCTAGTTATACAATTTATCTAATAAAGACCGTAGCAGAATTAAAGTCGAACGTGGAACAAATAAATTCAAAAAGTTCTGGTATTAATACAGGTGAAATACCTTTAGTGACCCAAATTGATCCAGAAAAGTTAGTTGAGCCACTATTATCTTATAATAATGTAGGTAAATCCAAAAAAGTCATTAAAAAAATATTACGTGGAGTTGAAGTTGCATGTAAAAAAATTTCATCCATTGGAAACGATGATATAACATACAACAATGAAATAAATATTTTCTTAAAATTGGGTACTTGTCCGTTTATTATTGGCTTTTATGGGGTTTCAAGGGTGGATAAGAATACCGTAATGGTATTTGATTGGGCTGAATACGGAAATTTAAGAGAGCTATACACTATAAATAATGAAATAAAGTGGACCACTAAACTGAAGATTGTTCGTGGTATATTAAATGGTCTTGCATTTATGCACCAATGTAATATTCTACATCGTGATGTTCGTTGTGAAAACGTCTTGGTATGTATGATATTACTTTAATAATTTTATAAATTCTTTTTTAATAAGATTTTTACAACAAATAATCAATAGATCACTGATGGATTTGAAGCTAGAGTTTCAAATTTCAAGCACAGTCATGATATGTCCAAAAAACCCTCTGAAATCAAGAACTTTCCTGATGTCATCCGATGGCTAGCTCCAGAAATGATGTTGGAAACCCCTAGTTATTATAACCTTCATTGTGAAACTTTCAGGTAGTATGTTTATGTGATAAAGTTTTATATATGAATTATGTTATATGACTATTTATACGTCGTATATTTTTGTAGTTTTGGAATGACACTTTGGGAAATTTGTTATCAAAGAATTCCTTATAAAGATATTGATAATATCGACCAAATTAAGAAACAAGTTCTTGATAAAACCCGCGAAACTCTTGGAATTGCAAATGATAAATTGCAGATACCTAGAGAACTTGCCAAGATAATTACGTTAGGTAAATACATCTTCTTTATAATGTAGGAAGATTATAATAAAGCGATTTAAATCATTAATTTTTATTACAAAGCTTGGGATGATGATCCTATAAAGCGCCCTTCAGATACAGAATTGCAGTTAAAATTTAAAAAGCTTTATGATGTACACATAGCTTCTAAAGTGCTTTCTCCTAAAATACGCCGTGAAGATAATGAATTTCCAATGTTTGAAACACCTGATGTGTCTGATGGGGTTAATTTAGACGACTTTTCAATACCTGACATTGAATCATTAATTCCTATTGAAGATGGTATTAAAGCACATAAAGAAAAAAATTACGAGGTTGCCTGGAAATGCTTTTCAGGTCATGCTAATCTTGGGAATAATCTTGCAAAATATTGGAAAGGATATTACTTATCAAGTGGATTTGGTGTGGAAAAGGACCAAAAAGCAGCTATCCAGCTCTTTAAAGAAGCCGCTGATAACGGTGTCGCTGATGCACAACTTCGATATGCATTTGCTCTCCTTGAAGATAAGAATAAGTTGGAGGAAGAGAAGAATAAGTTTGATGTTTCAGAAATAATGAAATATTTAAATATGGCAGCTGATAATGGAAATTCTATAGCACCTTTTAATTTGGGCGACATCTATTGGAATGGAAAACTTGGAATTCCAGTTAATAAGGAAAAGGCAAAATCATATTTTAAAATTTCGGCTTCAAAGAATAATCCTAAAGCTATTGAATTTCTTGAAAAAAATCAACTTTAAATTTCAAAATTTTTTTTTTATGTTATCAAATTTAAATTTTAATATTCACATGATATTAGAAATGCAGGCTTTCTCAGATTAAGGATAACACGACATACATTGTAAATACCTATTATTATGCATAATAAATTCTAGAATTAGTGAAATTTATCAGCAGTAATATAATAATTCTCCATAATTTAAATCCAGAAATATGAAATAATTATGTCTTAATAACACATCCCTAAATTTTATGATTTTATCAAAATATGGTTAATTAACATTTTCTTAATAAAAATAACAGTTAAGTTTTTGTTTTGTGAGTAAATGTTAATTTTTTTTATCAACCATTATTTAGCTTCTTTTTTTATTGCGGCAGCTTAGGATGATGCTAAAATTTGGAATACCATTTAGATATATTGACGTGCATTCTTTTATTAACTTACCAATTCTTAATATATTAATGTGCATTCTTTTATTAACTACCCAAATTCTAATATAATACTCTAAAATCTACATACTTTATACTCCTTAATTAAAAGCACAGCCAAATTCCAATATAATACCAAAAATCAGTTATCACATTTAATGTTTAGCAAAGATTTGTATTATTTTTTATATTACAATAAGACAATGTAGTTTGCATTTAAAGTGCTTAAAACTTGCTTGCGAAAAGTTTAGCCTTAAACAAAAAATCTTCGATTTACCCATAGTCCGTTAAGTATTACTGAACAATCGGGAGAGAACATAAAATACACTGTTATTAATTACGTAACATGAAATAATAGAATTTATCATATAAACTATTGTTAAAGTAAATGGTTTGATATTTATTGGTTATTTGATTACCTGCATTTATATGTGTATGATTTAACAACAAATATATAATAGATATTTCACGTCATCATAAAAATATCACCAGAAATGTTCACGGGTGAACATTAGGGGTTGTGGAATATAATGCCATAAATGATATAATGACTGTAGGAAGTAAATATATAAACACATTTTCAATTTATCTGAATATTTCCATTAATTCCTTCATCAATTACCATAATTGTATATTCTATAGAAATCAATTCGATTGCTGTTTTTTTAAAGGTAATGGCATGATATGCCTGTCTGGTATATAACATTTTTCTTTCAAATTCGATAATTCTATAAATAATTTACTAAGACTAATTCTTTCCTCCGGTCTGTGAGCCCACACTTTTGGGAAAATTTAATCTATTAGTCTGAGTATTTTAAGATTTATGAATCACATAAAAAGTAATTAAAAATCAAATACCTACCGCTTTTAATAATTCTTACAAATTCTTGATAAATTTCGTAATCTTCTGATTTATCTGATAAATAAGCAGGAATTTCTTCCCTCCCTTCATTGGTGACATGAGAAATTACGTAATCTAACTTCTTGTTCTCATAAGGAGTCTTCTCAAATGCCAGTTCCCATAATAGCATACCGAAGCTGTACGAGTAGACCATAGAATCAGCATAAATGAGTATATTATAACATAAATTTCGTGTTCATACCTGAATAATTCACATTGGTAGGTATATCGAACAATATTTTCTTTTTCGTAATCTAACATTTTTTCAGGAGCCATCCAGCGCAAACTTTCCCGATCCTGATTAATAAAAGTTGTTACATCATCTTTCATTCTTGCAAATTGAAAGTTTGCTAGTTTAGGTTCCAGCTCATTGGTTACCTATAAAATATGAAAAAGAATTACCTATAGTGGTCACAGGGAAAAGCCATGAACTATATATATATATATTTAATTTACCAGAACATTTTCGCAACGTATGTCATGGTGAAATATTGTATGGAAATCCAAAAATAAAATTGCACGAAAAATATCCAATGCAAGAGATATTTTTGTAGTCCAAGGTATTGAATATTTCTCATAAACCTCTTTTAAACTGCCCATTTCAGCCCATTCAAAAATCATACAATTATTACCCATCTTTGGGTAATCAATTGAAATTCCATAAAATTTGAGGATTTTTGGACAAACACTTGATTTTATCAAAATTTCAAAAGTATTTTGAACTTGCGAGAAATCATGTGAGTAATATTTACACGCGACTTCTCGTTTGTCCGGCAATAATATTCTTTTATGATTTCTAACTACTTTAAGGTTATTATCTGGATTTTGCAAATGAATTGGTAATATTTTAGGTATTTCAGTTGATATTGCTATTTCCTGATACTCTTGATAACTTTCGATACGTTTAAGAAACTGTAAAATAAGAGTTCGTTTAATTAGAAAGATGTATAAGTTCCGGATTTTATATTTTTATAATACCTCAGTCATTTCATTCAAGTCTTCCTTTAAATTTTCATCATCTATTTGTTTTAGTTTTTCTTTATCAGTTATTATAGTAAAGTCTAACTTGCTCATATAGGTATCAAATCTCTTTGTCAATTCCAAAAAGTTTTCTTTAATTGTATCTGCCCTAAGAAATCTAAACTTTTGGAACTGTGTGATTTCTGCAACGAACTTTTTAATTTCTATCATAGTTTTTGCAAACTCTTCAAAATCATCAATATAATTGTCCTTTTTAAAGTTTTCTTCAATCTCTGGTTTTCTACGCAACAATATTTTAATTCCAAATTCAACAGATCTCACTCGCTCGATTAATGCGCCACAAATTTTCTTATTATATTGTGCATTTTTATCTACCTCTAATATCTCAGTAACATACGTAGTTACTATTGATATTAAAGGTGTGTAGTTTCTGGAATCTTTTAATGTATTTACTGCTTTATTGATCTGTTCTTCAGACATTATTAAATTTCGAGCGCTATCTTATTAACTAATATAAAAGTCGAACTTATGAAGATTAAAGAATACTGTACATTTATTTTGAATAATGGTCGTACCTTAGCTAAATGAAAATGTATGCTCCTAAACTATCCTTTTTAATTAATGTACATAAGCACGTACTGTACCTGCATACGTACATACGTATTACAGTAACATAGCACAAATCCTTAACAGTTTATAGAATTTACTGCCTTGATAAATTATTGCGTATATGGATTATTGCGAATTATAACGATAATCTATGATACAATCCTTATTAGTTTTTTTTTTAGGGGAATTTACACATAAAGGCCTAAAAATTACGGATGAGGGCCCAAAATAAAAATTTTTACATATTTGTTGGGTTCGGAAACTCCGACTCGGTCGCTGCACAATCCAAATTCTCGTGTAACGTACGATAGGTAACCTTTACGAAAGAGGTGTTAGATTTGGCTGGTGGGTGATTAAGGCTTTCGGTTATTTTGGGTCAAAGAAGACAAGCAAACTACCCCAGTATCGCCACCAAAATGTTGAAGTCACGTGAGTTTTTTGTGGCGCAAACAAATCAGATTTCAAGATCGGGTGTGACGTTACACAATCGGGAAAATTCAAAACAAACGTTCGCTTTGTCAAAATTCGCTCATAACTCGAAAATTTACATAAGAAACCACCTTTAGTGCACTAGCAAAAAAAATTCCTTGAGCGATTTTACTATTAAAACTTAACTTTAACATTAGCATAAACCTTACCCTAATCTAAACAAGCTTTAAAGAATTTTCGGTTCTCACGTGACCACAACATTTTGGTGGCGATACTGGGGAAGCGCAGGATCTACGGACAGTTCTTACGGACAGTATGGACAGTCAAATTCACGTGATATTGC